GCACCCAGTCTCTGTCCCGTAATACTAGACAACCCAACCCCCAGACTCTGCTACCCAAACAAGACAATGGTACCTCTAGGCTCTGTCACTCCACAATGAGCAACAGATGCATAACATGTCACCTCATACTAGAGACCTGGGCCCACAGCCCCATTAACCTTCATCTTCTGGTCCCATTCATTCCAAAGGAGGCAAGCAAGCCTCCTTTGTGGGGTTATAGAGACCCTGTGCCCACAGTCATTTCTTCTCAAACTGGACAACCGATCCCCCATCTCTGCCATCACAAAGTAGACAACGATCTCCTGGTCTGTCACCCCAAACTCAACTTCCGAGTCTTTGTCAGCACAAGCCAGGTCCTGGGATCCCAGAACCCCTAGTCTCTGCCACCCCAATCTATACAAATAAACCCCACTTTTTAAAAAATCCTCACCTGAGGAGAATATTTTTCCATTGATCTTTAGAGAGTGGAAGGGAGGGAGGGAGACACAGAGAGAGAAACATCAATGTGAGAGAGACACATCGATTAGTTGCCTACTGCATAAGCCCTGACTGGGGTTGGGGATTGATCCTTCAACCAAAGTATGTGCCCTTTACTGGAATCGAACCTGGGACCCTTCAGTCCGCAGGCCGATGCTCTAATCACTGAGCCAAATGGGCTAGGGCAACTCCCCACTTCTGAGGTCCCAAATTAGCCATCTGGACACCCAGCTTCTGGGACTCCACACTAAACAAAGAAACCCATCATCCTCTGAGATCTCAATCACAACCACATCAGTAATCTCTGCTCCCAAGCCCAACAGTAGGACTCAGTAGATCTGTCACCTCAACTAGGAAACAGACCTGGAGTGTCTGTCACCTCAACCTAGCCCCGGTGATCACCCACTATCTCTCATCCCAAACCAAAGCTCTGAACCCCACTGTCATGCATCATCCCAAGCTAGATAACTAGTCCCTTGGTCTCTATAACCCCACGCAAGACAATTGGCCTTGTGTCTCTGGCATCCAAAATGAGACTACAAGTCTTAGACATCCCCATAGAGCCCACCAGACCCCCAAGTTCTGTCACTACAAACTAGTAATTGAATGCTCAGTCTGGCATCTCAACCTTAAAATTTTGGTGTCTCATTCAGTAACTAGACTACTATTCTGTCACCCCAAAAGAGACTAGGCCCCAATTCTGATATCCCTAAAGAAGCTCCACTTTTGGTTACCCCAACTAGATCATCAGACCCTCAGTCTGTCACCCCAAACTAGACCTTAGAATTCCATCCCCCGTCACCTCAACCTTGACAAGAATTGTAATCTCTGACACCTCTAACAACTCCGTCCCTATCATTCCCAACCAGAAAGAGTCCCTAATCTGTCACTTAAACTGAGAACTAGATCCACTGTGTTTTTCAGACCAAACTAGACAAGCAGATATTCCCCAAACTAAACAACACAATCCTCCCAGTCACTGTCACCTCACACTAGGCAATGAGACTCCCAATATCCGTTGTCCCAAATTATGCAACAGGACCCCTGGGCTTTGTCACCACCAACTAGACAGTGTTGGTGCCTCCAGATCCCAATCAGGTTGCCTCCAGCCAAGGGGACACCCTACCATGTCATCCCAAACGAGGGCCCAGACTCCTAGCATCATCGCTCCCAATTTGCCACCTAGACACCCAGGCCTCAAGAACCCCCTTCTCTGTCACCCCAAGCTAGATAAATGACCACCAGTCTGTCATCTCAAAGTTGGCAATAGATTCCCTATTTCTATTACCCCGAACCAGAAACTGGATTCTCAGCCCAAACAAGACAACCAGATGCCCCGTCTGACTGCCAAAAGGAGGTGCAGGCACTCCCTGGCTCTGACATGCCACACTGGACAACTGGATCCCTTGTCCTTGTCACACCAAACTGGGGCCCACAGGCTCTTTAATCATGAAGGTGACAGCCAGATCCCTAATCTGTCACTCCCAATCAGCTTCCATCACCAAAACTGACAACCAGACTTTTGGCCTGTCTCCTTGATGAGACACCCCCAAAGCAAACCTCTGAACCCTGGCGTCATTCAGGCAGGGATGGATGGAAAATGGTCCCTAGGCCTTGACAACCCTGAATGCAATCTTCCAGTCTCGGCATCTCAATAACTCAACATCAGAATCAGGGGCCTGTAGTCAGTCACCCCCAGATTAAGCTTCTGGACTGAGTCTCAGCCTCCCACTGGCCCCTGGCCCCAGGCTGCTGACCACTTGCCTCAGTGACCTCAGCTCCAGGGCCCTGGGCCCCCAGTCACCTCCAACCAGGCACCTGACCATACTCACTCCAGACCCAGGAGCCTAAACTGAATGCAGTGACTGCCCACCCCCCTCCCCCCCGCCCCCCGGTGTGAAGACCTGGTCTTCCCCAGGAACACTGGTATGTGAATCAACAGACAAAATGCTCACTGTTACCCCCAAATGGGGTTGGGGATGCTGGTCTCGCAGTAACCCAGGTGCCTGACTCTGGGCCTCAGGCACCCGGGGTCTCCTCTGCAGGACACATCCATTTCTGGCTCCCTCCTTGGAGGTCTGGATTCTGGAAGAAGCACGTTCCGCCCTCTGGTGGCTGCCACTGGAAGCGCGGCCCTGGTAGGACCAGTATGAACCCCGACACCCACGCCTCGTGGTGTTTGCATCCGGCTGGAAGCCTGAAATGTGGGATGACCCCTCCCACTCTGCTCCCACGCAGGTCAGTCACCAAGTCCTCACCCTGTTCCTCCTGAATCCACCTTCCCTGTCTCTCCTCTACATTCCACGTCCCTGCCTCATCTTCCCCAGCTTGGCTCATCCTCCCTGGTCTCCCTCCCTCCAGCCCAGCCCCACATCACCCTGAAGGGGTATTTCTAATGCTCACACTTAACCCTATCCCTCCCCTGCTCCTCAAAGCCCTTCCATGGCTTGCAGGTCCTGTGTGATCTGGTCCCCAACATCGTCTCCTAAGGCTGTCCCCTCACTCCTGAGCACGGCCAACCTCAGGGCCTTTGCACTTGCTGGTCCTTCTGCCTGGAATACTCTTCCCCCAGACCTCCAAGAGGCAATCTCCTTTTCACTGCCCAGCGAGGCCCTGCCCTTCCTCAACTGCTCTCTAGTCTCACCCAATCCCGTCTTATTGGCTTCAGTCTGCATACGACTGAGACTTCCCCGCTGCTGGTTGTCTGGCCCGGATATTGCACCTTCCCACTGAATGTGAGCTCTGAGCGGGCAGGGCCTTGTCCATGTGCCACCCTGACGTTTCCCCAGCATCTTAGCCAGCGAGGACAGTAGGAACAGAATCCGAGCCACAAATGTAGCTTTATATATGCTACTTAATCATGAAAAATGTAAAAGGAGAAAACAATTTAAACCAGTATATCTAACGTATTATCCTTCCAACACATAACCAATATAAAAAATTGAGACATTTCACACTCTTGTCCTACTAAGTCCTTGCCATCTGTTGTTTTGCCCTCACAACATGTCTCAGTTGGGACCAGCCATGTTTCAAGTGCTCAGTAGCCACACGTGGCTGGTGGCTCTCATGACTGACAGGACGCTGGGGCCTCCATGGGCACTTGATAACATTTGCTGAATCAGTGATGAACCATGAGTGTTGGTGATGAGATACAATGTTGGAGAGGCCATGCCTCTGCTTAGAACCCGTCCCCTCAGCCCTTCCTGTGGCTCGTGTCACTCAGGGTTCACCGAAATGTCACCTCCTCAGAGAGCCCTCCAGGACCAGCCCCATCTGAAGGAGCTTTCCAGGCCCTCTCTGTCACCTCACATTGTTGTCATATCTGTCTAATGCTTTCCTTACCAGGTGTTTCTCTTTTGTCAGCATTTCCACACGACAGTCCTCACATGACAATGAGAAGCAATTCCTGTCCCTTTCGTCTCAGAGTAAAACCAGAGCCTGCAAGGCTCCCAACCTCTTGTTTTTTAATTGATTTCAGAGAGGAAGGGAGAGGGAGAGGGAGAGGGAGAGATCAATGATGAGAATCATTGATCAGCTGCCGCCTGCATGCCCCCTACTGGGGATGGAGCCGCAACTCAGGCATGTGCCCTTGACCAGAATCGAACCTGGGACCCTTCAGTCTGCAGACCGAAGCTCTATCCACTGAGCCAAACCACCTAGGGAAAGGCTCCCAATTTCCCCAGCTCAGCTGCTCCAGCCACCCCGGCCTCCTCCCCGATCCTCAGACCTCCAGAAACACTGTCATCTCCAGGCCTTTGCACCAACTCCCTGCTTCTTCTGCCCAGAACATTCTCCCTCCCAAAGATCTGCAGCTGCTCCCTCATTCTATTTGGGTCTTCACTCCAGAACTTTATGCCCTTAACATAGCAGGCCCGGGGCTGTTGTCCTTAGAGCTGCCTGCCTGCGTCTGGGCCCTTGGCTGGCATCTGGGAACTTGGACTTCAGGACAGTTCCCACCATTCCCTGAGGAGGGGCTCACGTGGCTGAACAGTTTGTGAAATGCTATTGTTTATGTAGAACACCCGCTTTCCTCCTGGGGGTCTGGAATTTTGGTCCATGTCAGACAGGGGACTTCCAAGGCCAGCCCCGGGGGAAAGCCTGGGCCCCGAGACTCTAGGGGCTTCCCTGGCAGACACTCCCCACATGCTGTCACAGGTCACTGCTGGGGGAAGGAGCACGCCCTGTGCCTCCGCTGGGACGACTCCGGGACACTTGTGCCCGGTTCCCTCTCCACTTCGCCCATGTGCCTTTATCCTTTGCGATTTTGCTTTGTATCTTTTCACAATAAATCCCAGCTGTTTACCAAGTCTTCCCAGTGAATCATCGAACATGGGAGCCCTGGCACAGTCTCCCTTCCCAATTCTTTTCTCCTTCCACTTACCACCACTGGCGATGCTCGAATGTTTTAATTATTTATCCTGCCTACTGTCTTCCCCGCACGGCAGGCCCCCTCTGCCTCAGTCTCTGAGGTGTCCCAGCATCACCCCACACAGACCCACAAAAAAATATCCAGGGAGAGTATGGTATGTGCTGAATGACAACTACAACAGCTTTACTTCCAAAGCTGGTTCCCTGGGCTTATGATGGGAAGGCAGCTGTTGGCTGGAGTAGTGGAGCTGTGCGGGCAGGGACAGGGATGGGCAGCTGGGTCTGGAGGTTGGCAGACCGCTCACACTGGCTCCATCTGCAGCTCTTCCCCATCCACGGCCTCGATCTGGTGGAAGGCGGCGTGGGAGCCAATGACCACAAGGGTGGCTCCTGCAGAAAAATGGACAGTTCAGGGCCTTGCTCCCCCTCCTGGTACCCACCTTCCACCCCCACTAGCCAGCCCCTGTACTTACCCAGAACCCAGAAGACGGCTGAGCCTGCACCGGCCAGCCAGAAGAAAGGAAAGGAGACGGCTCCAGCCATAGCATACTGATGGGCTGGGCTCACCTCTCGGCCTGGGGGACAGACAGCATTGGGGCAGCTGTTCTCTCCCACAGTAACCCTGAATGCCCCTCAACAGTCCAGGGGGAGCCTCAGGATCACCCAAACTCCTCAGGCCAAGACCCTCCAAGTCCAGGCCGACCCGTGTCTCCAATGTCTGCACTGTCAGCACACCTTCCTCAGCCCTCCCCCTGCCTCCAACCCCACTTCCTTTGGGAAGCTCCTGGCTCCCACTCCCCCCAGACTAGGGCTCTCCTGCTCCAACCTGCTCTCACACAAGCCAGGAGTCTCAAACTGGTGGCCCAAGGGCCAAGTCTGACCTGTAAACGCACAATGTTCCCCAAGAATTTGACTTGAGGCTGACAGAGAAACCAAACTACTTCACGTAACAGCACGGACTTCTGGTTTCTCGGCAGACCAGGATAGATGTGCAGGCCGCGGGGCGGTGGCAGCTGACACAGGCCCAGGCTGTGTTCCAGCTGCTCCTCCCATGCCCTGTCCTTGCCCACCATCCTCTCCACCGGCCCACCTTTGTCATGCACATAACCTGCAGACCCCTGTAGGACTACCTGCTTATCGGATCCCAACGCCTCCCTATCCCCACTCCAAACCTTGAGCACCCCCACCCAGGGACTCAGGCTCCTTTCTTCCCTAGACCTCAGCTTCCCTCTCTGAGAAGTCTCAAGGTTGTTCTGATCCCGCCCTATGAGGCAGGACAGGGATGGGGACAGATCTAGGGCAGCGCAACGTCGCCGCCTGGTGTCCAGTGTGTGTGTCTACAGCTGGTGCTTTCCTCAAAGAGTAAGTTTAAGGGACAGGAGCAGGTGGAGAGTGGGTTCCGGGTACCTCATCCTAGGTTTGGGGAATAAAAATGTGGGTGGCTGAGTCTGAGTGGAGCATCTGGTGCGTCTGAGATTTTAGGGTTTGGGGGGGGGGTCTGGTGTCGATCTAGGCGTGGGCAGACTTGGGTTTGGGTTCTCAGGCTTTTGTTCCAAGAGACCAGGATTTGAGGGTCTAGGGGCCCTAGACTCTAGGGATCCATTTGCAGGGGATTTCTCACCAAAGAGTACGAGCTTGGACTGCAATGTGCGCAGATAGAGGATGTAACAGGCACCAAAGAAGACGGCCAGGGCCACCAGCAGCATGGGAGACGTAACCCTGCAGGAGGGCGGGGAGGCATCGTCAGGCAGTGGGGCTGGCCCAACCGGGGGGGACACGGACCTTACACCCGCGGGTGGCGGCTATGTCCTTGAGGTCTGGCAAGTTCTGTCACATTTGGTCAAACTGGACAGGCTGATTGGGAAGTAGGGACCAGATCTTTGGTGAGCGAGTGGCAGAGCTGGGCCTGGTGGCGGGGCCGGTGCGGGGCCTGGCGGAAGGGACTCACACGCAGTACACGATGAGGCCGAGGAACACGAACACATAGTTGCTCTGGTAGTACTCCACGTTTCGTACGAGGCGCTGGCACAGCTCGCC